CAGACAGGAAAGCAAAACTGTGCTTAAAGACTAGAAGGAATATAATCTCCACTCTCTCCAATGTCCAACTCGGGGCAACTACAATGGTTAGAAGAGTGTCTTCTATGTTAAAAATGCTGTAGATTTTGTTATAATTTCTGTAAAATGTGAAAGTTGATTTATGTTACACAATTGAATAACAGACTTGTTACATTGTAGTGCATGATTTGTTAAAAACTGGCTAAAGAAAATATTGTAGAAGTAATAATTTTAAAATGAAACCTCTTGCAGAGATTTATAAAAATAAAGTGTTGCATATTGATATTTATCTGTTTCCTCCCTTGTTAAATCATTGTTGACAACTATTGTGAGAAATCATTAACATGATCAGTATCTTCACATAGATGAATATCATCAATTATTAATAATAACATATAATTTAAAGTAAATTGAGCAAATTTGTTATTCTGTATCAAATCTTTAGCCCAAGAAGTAGCTCTCAGCTTCAAAAAGGTTGGTGACCCCTGCTCTAACTGCTTGTTTGCTACAAGGGAATGATGCAAAAAAAAAGAAGGAACCACTCCCTAATCAACAGCACTGTTACTTCAACTTCAAAGTAAAGTAATTTGTAATCTATTACTTTTTTACTTTTAAAAGATAAAATATACCTATAAAAATACTAAATAAACTGCAGCTCTTTCAGTAATTTAATATTCACTGAAAAAAAAACATTAAAATGGGTTGATGTATGCAAAAGCACTGCAGTTATTGGGTGTTAACTAGTTAACTAGATCGGGCGGTAACTAGTCTACCGAAATGTGTATATTCTATACAAAGCATAAAGCTTATTGGTCAGTTCTTGTCGCATGAATCGCGGTTTTCAACTGGTGCACCTGGAAAATGCAAGTGCGTGCAATATGTATTCCCAATATGTGTATGCAAGCTGCGTTATATGTGAATGGCCCCATAAGCAGCTTCGCTTCCTTCACATTCAGAAGATACCTTCACTCCCGATCCTGCACAAAAATTCAGTTTATCCTGTTTAAGAGTTGGGCTGCCATGTTTCTGGGTGTCCTCCTTGGTGACGAATATTGTCATAGAATGCTTTCTGTTCTGGTGCTTGAACAAGTTGCTGGTCGAGTTAAAAGCAGTCAAAAGTTTTTTAGAGACTGGACAGAGACTGCATATCACAGCAATATTTTTTTTTTACGCTCAATAAAAATCAAAGTAATGTCTGTATTTCCACTTGAAGCAACCACTCTTATCAGCAACCATTTCAGCTCGCGTTTTCCAGCAATTTAAAAGCACATGCTTATTAACTGACGTTGCAGCAGAAAACGTGATTTAAAATACACACTTTTTTCTTCTAAAGCCTATATTTGTAACATAAATAATGCAATTACATTGACTTTAGTAACTGTAATCAAATTACACATATTTAAAATGTAATTCGTTACATTACTGCATTTCTCAAAAATGTAATTAGAGTACAGTACACACAACTCTGCTAATCAACATTCCATATACATTGCGATATGAAACATATTACACCAGATGGTAAATTACTCTTTTCGTAAAGAATTTACTATTGCAGAATGTTTGGGAACATTATATAATGGAGTGCATGTGAAGGAATTATTAGAATTAACTTTAAACTAGATTTCCAGGGGTAAAAAAAAAAAAAAAAAACAGATGCCCTTCCAGCCACAACCCAGCACTGGGAAACACAAATTCACTTAAGCATTCACACACACTATGGCCAATTTTGTTTATTTAATTCACTTATACTGCATGTCTTTGGACTGCGGGGGAAACCGTGCATCCCAAGGAAACCCACACCAGCACGGGGAGAACATGCAAACTATACACAGAAAATGCCAACTGACCCAACCAGGGCTTGAACCAGCAATCTTTTTGCTGTGAGGCGACAGTTCTAACCTCTGAACCATCGTCCAGTAATGTCTAATGTCTAATGTCTAATGTAAAATGACACTTGGATAATATCACTATTTAATATCACTACCACCAAATAAACTGATTCATTAATAAAGTCTTAGTATTAATTATTTCAGTAGGCTAGAAACTATAATTATCTGTACTGGTGTGCATGTAAGCTTGCTCACTGTGGGCAAGGCCAAGTGCATGTTCAATATCCTGAAGGAAAAAGGAAAGCAGTATTCCCTCTTTCCATGACATCAGCCCAGCCGGGTGTTTGAGGGAGGCGCGGGGAGATTTGGGGAATGAGGTGGGGGGATTGGGAGCGCAGCTGGTGTCAGCCGCAAGACCATCTGCTCCTAACTAATGGTTCACGCTGACTTTACAACAGAGCCCAGGACGGCCTGCCCGCTCCACCGCCTGGAGTTCCGTTTTCCAGTTTCAGAGGCCCAACGCACCTCATCGGCTCACCCTGAGGACGAGCAACTAACAATTTCCCTGAGAACTTTCTGATGAGCTAGTTCCCCGCCAACCTCAACAAACACTCACGATCACGAGCAGTCAAAACAACCCCCAGCAGCAGTCATAACGCCACACAGCCAGTCAAAACACTGAAACTGAGGGGGGGAAAAGATAGATTGCTCCATATTAAAGATTCTTTCGCATTAGCGCATTTTAAAATATGTGATGCCCATAAAATGTGGTTGTTCAATAGAATGCTTTAAAAAACATTTGAGATTTGGTCACACTTTAAAATTATGGTCTATTAGTTAATGTTAGTTTTTGTATTTACAGACATGAACAAACTACTGGTACATTTATATTTTTTATATTATACAATATATATTATATTACACATTTATTAAGGTATTTATTCATTTCTTTTAACATAATGTTTTTTAAGTTAAATAACTTTGATTAATGCCCCATGAGTTAATATGAACTAATGTTAACAACCACAAGTTTGGATCTTAATGATGCATTAGTAATTGCTGAACTATGATTAATAAATCCTTTACAAGATTATTACTTGGTTACTTAGATACTTAGATAAAGAGTACGTTTACATGAATATCAATAATTCAATTTTAATACAATTAAGACAGTAGTCTGATTAAGACTCCACCATGCAAACAGCGATTTTTAATGAATTTAAGGTGATTAAGGTCAAATTGAACTAAACAGAAATCGAATTAAGAGGTGGATTATTCCGATTTTAGTCGCAGTGCAGTACAGACATTTAAACACTGTAATCAAACAATTACCGTCATGTCGAATTTTTGCCGGATTTCACAATAGGATAGACAGTACACACGACTGTTTGACCGATTGAGGCAAATAATTTGATTGCTGAAGTCCATATAAACGTAGTCAATGTTAGTAAATACATTAACTAATGGACCATTGTTCTAAAGTGGTACATGAAATTTTACATATTACAATAAATAATAATTCAAATAAAATAAAATTAAATATAAATTTGTAATTTAAGCTAGATTAAGTTATTAAAAAGAGGCAGTTCACATGAAAATGTCCTTGCTCTGCATCAGATTATTTAAAAATGATTTTAAATCAACTTCACATCTTAGTTGGGCTTGTTTGGTCCATTTTTGGTTAGGTGGTCAATGTGAAATCTGCCTTCTAACTTTCTAAAAAAAAAAAAAAAAAAACATGACGATATTCTAACTCAAGCTTTAAAATTAAAAACAATTAAAATATAAAAAACTAAAATTGCAATATAAAATATTACATGACTTTGGCATAGCTACTATGATGTTAAATTATAAGTTTTTTTGGTTTAAATTTTTGTTTAACAACAAGAAGATGAATGTTGACATGTATTAATATATTAATTGGCAAAGATTAATGCCTAGTTCAGACTGCACGATTTTCAAAGTAGTCGTGTCACAAATGTTTTCACACTGCATGACTACCTGGGTTAGCATTCTGTCGGTGCTGTGTTTAAACTGAAGGATGGATCGGCGACAGGGGGTTTCACACTGCATGACTTTACAATAGGAAAAATCAACAACAACTTTGTCAAACTATGTCTCACAAATAAATGCAAGAAGTGACATGGAAGCAATGCGAGGTCATGAAATATATCTTTTGTTATTAACTACATAATGGAAAAAGAAGGCTTAGCTCTAGAAAATGAACTTATTTTACTCACCTGGCTTGTCAAGAGAATTAACAAGTCCTCAACTTTTTGACCTGGTTGTGATATTGCTCAGATGACATGTCAAACAGACTAAGTGCTCCTGCCAAATTTACACTAATTTTCCTCCATTTCTTAGGTCCAAAAAAACTAAAAATGAGCGCTTTTGACTTCTCCCCTAACCTCCCGCTGGCCTGCAGCTTTCCACACTAGTGGCACACTGCCCTCTCATAGGCTGTAGGTGACCGTGGATGTTAATTTTAATCAGAAAACATTTCACACGGCATGACTTGAATCGCAGACAGCTCCAGATATTTAGCATGCCAAATATCTCATAGGTTTTGTCAACTCATTTGTGATTCTTTTTATCGCGTCCTTAATAGTTCATACTGTTTGATTGTTACTCATGTGAACGAGCACCGATTTGCCTGTGATTTCAGGCATTTGTCTCCAATTTCTCAAAACTTTTGGGCGAGTCAAAATCGAGGCTAAAATCATGCAGCTTGAACTCTGCATAAGTTTCACAGTATATATCTCGAACCTTTTTTTCCCCTGAATTTAGTCAATTGGTGAAGTTTGTTCCTCACCATTGGCTTGCTTGGTTTGGGACTTGGGGAGCTTTCAGCAGTGACATTTAAACTACACTGAACATCAACTCTGAAAACTGGACTGAAGCAGTTTCAGGTTACTAGAACTTCCATCTTAAGCTGCTTTGACACAATCTACATTGTAAAAGCAATATAAAAATAAAGGTGAATTAAATTGAATCCACTTGGAAGTGAAATCTTACTTCAACACAGCATGTTGGGATAAATTTGTCGATTCCAATTGATTATTAAAAACAGGGTCTGGATCATGAGAACTCCAGATTCAAACTCAACCTCTGACTTGTCAATCAAACCAAATTAGTGCAGCTTTTTCGACTCACCATACATTTTGCCCTCATCAGACAGGATAATTTTCCGCCGGCCACAGGGAGGGTAGATGGCCAGAGCCTCCTGAAAGCTCTGCTCAATGTCAGGGCTCCACACGCCCTCCGCGTCATTGTCCATGGGCTTATCAGCAGAGTCACTCATTCTCTCAATGTCCTCCCCGGCACTTTCACTGCCGCTCCAGCTGCTGGGATCCATGGCAATGGATGTGATCTCAGAGCCTGAGCCTGGAGAACTCAAGGCACACTGACCTGGGAAGCAGCAAAAAAAAAAAAAAAAAAAAAAAAAAAGTTATGGTGTGTTCATCTTTCTGTTAAAGAGTTTACTTAAATCTGATAACACAAAAAAAAAAAAAAAAAAAAAAACTTTAAAAATACTTTTTAATAAAAAATTTAAAAACACAAAAATAATACATCAAAATAAACAAATAAAACTTTCTAAAAATAATCTAAAAATAAATAAATACTTAATCTAAAACAATTATTAATTAATAGTCTAAAAATAAACAAATAATCTAAAAATAAATAAATAATCTAAAAATAATCACAAATAATAAATAATCAAAAAAATAAATGATAAATGAAATATCTAAAAAAAATAAAATAAATGAATAATCTAAAATAATAATAATAATCTAAATAAATAAATGAATAAATGAATGAATAATCTAACAATAAACAAACAAATGAATAAATGAATGAATAATCTAACAAAAAACAAACCTAAATAAATAATTTAAAAAATGAATAAAAAAATAAATAATCTAAAAAATTCTAAAAATAAATAATTAAATGATCTAAATAAATAAATAAATAATCTAAAAAACAACTAAATAATGTACATAAATAATATATAATATAAAAATAAATAAATAATGTACAAAATAACCAGTGTAAATAAATGATACATAAATAATCATTGATAAATAATGTAAATAAATATTAAACAAGTAATCTAAAAAATAAATAAATCTAAAAAACATAATAACTTGCCTAATTAACCCTTGAAAAAAGATTATACTGTCATTATTTACAGGGGAAAAGTACACCAAATGTATTGATGACTCATGTATTGCATAGATTTAACCAATCAAATGCTCTCTACAATGAGAACATCCCAACCCCTGATACCACCAACAACTTACTTACAAATAATAACCATAAATAACTAAAAAAAATGGACCAGTTAAATAACTGTGTCCGAAATCAATTATCAAAATTCACTGAAACAAAATGATTGATTGGATTGACTAACTTCCAAACAATGAATATGGGCTGAATTTAACCAAATTAAGTTGAACATTACTAAATTTAATTTATTTGGTTAAATTCAGCCCATATAAATTGTTTGCAACCACTTACCTCAAAACAACTGAGTAAATCCAATGTATCATTTTTCCAGTGTATTAGATTCCATAAGTACATATTAGTAAATAGTATTTGACAAGCGTAGCATGTCTGAATTCATAGTATTCATAAAAAAGTTGATATTCTACCTCTGGCAAGACCCTTACTAGTGTACTTGTGATGGACACTTTTAAATCCTATGATGCCATAGAAGAGCATTTATGAATGGCAGTGAAGCAGCTTAACGAACACTACTATGCTGTCACAGTAACAACATAGCAAATGTTATGCCCCCAAATACTACTCACTTTCATACAACAAAGTAAATACTTTTTTTTTAAGTCAAAGTCATTTCTTTCTTTAAAAAAAAAAACTATACCCAAGAGATATAGATTTTGAACGCAGCCAGTGTCACTACGTCTCAAAAAAAAAATGGCCTGTTTACAACTTCAAACAGTCAATCTGTTTGTGGTTTGGGATTGAAAATACTGATGAACACACATTAAATACAATTAAAACATGTTCTCAACATCCATAAAATAAAAAAAAACATCAAACCCAAAGCTGAAGATCAACACATGATTGAAAGCCCATGAAGGAAATGAGAAAACGCATAAGCCACGCTAATTTAGGAGTGGCACTTAGGCTAAACCAAAACAGCTGCCGTCTTACAAGGGAATCTTACAAGCTGGCAATGATGTCAGGCCAGCTTTTTAACATTTGTGGTAGAAACTTGCTGAATGACAAATGTTGATCCTGTAGCTTGAGAAAGAGAGCGATTAAACCCAAATCAAATGCAGCGAGTCGCTACATTTAGCATTAACGCCACACAGTATGTTTAATGTACAAGGAAATCGCTTGCACAAAAAAAAGCTCTGTGGCTAATCGCAATCTCATTATAAACATAAGACTACAAATCAGGGCAAAGACTGCAGCAATCTGGCAGAAAAATCAGAAGAATCGCATCCAAGTGCATATAAACCGCTCCCATAAACAGCCAAAAGCGCTAGGACATCAAACGTGTATGTGTGTACGGCTTTGAGGGAAACCATGAAGTGTTACAACAATACAAATCTCATCTAAATGGTCACACAGAGATTGCGAACAACAAAAGCTGTGTTTTTGAAGTCACATTTGACTTAACAGCTATGCAAGCCAGAGAAATGAAGCCTAGTGAAATAAATACAGCGCTGCCGACTTTAGAAATGCTAGCATGTGTTTCCTGTCAAATTTGTGTGGGCTACACACTGCTTTCCATTAGATTTGCACAAAACTTTGGCCCTATTTTCTACATGTTGATTTAAAAACAATAACTAAATGACTAAATATGTTTAAGTATATATTTTTATATTAATAAGTTAAACATAATAATGAATTGCTGCATCAGTTTCTACAAACATATGATCATATAACTTTTAGGAAAAACACACACACACACACACACACACACACACACACACACACACACACACACACACACACACACACACACACACACACACACACACACACACACACACACACACACACACACACACACACAGATACATAGACGCACATGCAAGCACGGATTTGCACTCACAGATGCGCATATGCCCGCATGCTCACGGATGCTTGCACGCAGATGCGCACACAAAAACACGCACACACAAACACATGCGCACGCACTGATGCACACACGAATGTGTACGCACGTGTATGCATGCATACGCATGGACTCGCACGCACTGACACGCACGCAGACGCATGCACACACACGAATAAAAAAAGCACACATACAAACACACACAGATGCAAGTGAACAAAAATCCATGCATGCATGCACAAACGCACGCACAAACACAAACTCATGCACACGCTCGCGCATGGACACACAAACATGCACACACGAACGCTTATGCATAGACTCACACAAATGTTTACGACGTACACACAGACGCGGACACACATGTATATATGCATATGCACGGATGCGCACGCACACATGTACAAGGACGCACGCACACGGATGCACACAAACACACACACACAGGCACAAACACAGCTGCATGCATGCACAAGAATGCGTGCACACACACAAACATGCACACAAACACAAACAAACACATGCAAATGTACACACGGACTCGCATGCACGGACGTGCACACACAGACCTGCATGTACACACATGGAGGCACAGATGCAGAGGGATGTGCACACACGTACAAACACGCATGCACGGACACACAAGGACGCGCAAACTCACAAACAATCACTTACAAACACGCAATGCATAGGCGCACAGGGATGCGCACACACGCAAAAACACAAACACACAATTGCACAGGGATGCACATACACGCACAAACACGCATGCACAGACACACAAGGATGCCCACACACTTACAAACACGCTCACACAAACACACAATGCACGGACGCACAGGGATGCGCACACACTCACAAACATGAACACACAAACGCGCGCACTTTATATTGCAGTTTGGCAAAATACGGTTTGCTCAAATTCCCTGAAAAACAAATAATAGTATCTGGATGCAGCCTTTATGATGCAAGCTGGGATTGCATCACTAGGCGATGCAATGTCAGACACAATGCACTCAATGGAGTGAGTGACATCACTGTGATTGGTAGGGTAAGGGGTGGGGTTAGGTGAGCGCATTTAAAAAGCATTGGATGCAGCTCAGATTGCACTGCACCAAGTCAGCAAAAAAAAAAAAAAAACGTTTTTGGGCTATGTGAGCTTGCTAAAATGAGCCGTTTACATTGGACAAATTTGTTTTTGAAATTGTCATGATCTAATATTTCAATCTAATTTTGTTAAATGAACTCATGTCATTTATATCTGAACAATAAAGGAGTCAACACAAAACGATACTAAAAAGTGACTTAGTAGAGCAGAGAAGAAACATTTAATTGAACTTTACAAAGCGCTTTTTAACAATATACTTAAAAGGCACCTAGGTTACACCTTTTTTCAGATTTAATATAAGTCTTTTGCTTCTCTAGAATGTCTATTTAAAGTTTAAGCTCAAAACACCCATCAGATGTTTCATTATACCTTTTACAAGATGCTGTTTAATACTGATTTCCAGCAGGGGATGGTTTTGTCGTACTGCGCCTTTAAGACGAGTCTTTCCCGCCTGTTTCTACGTGCCTTCCCGCGTGCTTTAATCTCCTCCCTCGGCTGCGTCAGACAACAGACAGATTTTAAGGAAGAAGGTCTAACGTAGCGTTTTTATGTTGTTAAATTGAAAACAAAAAGGATTGTGTGTGTTTGTATCACCCCAATATGATGGTCTATACACTATATATACACATATGTTTGTCCAAATAGCTTGAAAAGTAGATTTTTCACCATTGGTGCCCTTTAAATGTGTTAAGAAATGGTCTTGAAAGACTAAAGAGTTCTCTCTTTAAATGGCCTTGTGTTTCAATAGTACATTATCTGCAGTACAGGTTTTAAAAATATACTTTTAAGATGTGAAGCACACTACAAGAGCACATTCAATACAATTTAGTGCACTTCTTTTTCGCAGGGGGAAAGATGAGCTGTGTGTGTTTCTATGAGTGAGAATGGATAGCTGCTAGACAGTGAGATCTACACCGTTAGCTGAGAGACAAAAATCTCAGCTGAAAAAAAAAAGAAAAAAAATTTGCAGGATTTTTTTCCTGCTCTATTTACTTTACATATTTTAACTGTAAATTACATTTACTTTGGGTCAAATAAAACTACAAGGGGAACTTAAGTATATTTAACTTTTAATTGTTTAATGCGTTTCAAATTATCATCAGAGTAAATAAAATAAAAATAAAGAAAAAACTTAAACTTTAGACTCTCTAGTGCCACCACTTGTCCAAAGTTTCACTTATGTTTATTGTTATATCGTTTGAAACAAATGGG